ATCTGCCTTTACACCACATCCCCTCTGAAGACATTGGAAAATAAAGAGATAGATTTAAAGAAAAATAATAAAGTTACTTATATGTAAATATAAATATACTTACAGTTGTTTGTGAAGCTAGAGATGTAATTACATCTTTCTTCTGTTCCTAAGGAGGCTAATGGAAATAGAAACACATTTTCCATTGCACATTTGGCTCAAACCTACCTCTTAGTAATTTATAATCTTCAGCAAGTGACTTAAAATATCTGAATCTCGTTTTCATCAATACATAGCAATGGCTGCTCAAGTGCTCTGGCACTGGAAAATATAAGGTAGAAATAGTTGTGGCCCTTCAGGAGTAATTCTAGCGGCTGCATCTGTCTCTGAGGCAAAGCACATTTCTTAGATTCAAGGTGTTGGGAGAGTCATGCTAGTCTTAGTATGATTGTGGGCGGAGCTTTTAGGAAGAAGTCCAAACAGTGTTCCTTCTTTCTTCCTCTCCCATAGACTGAAAATTATTTATTTGATTCATTTGTCAATCTGTTCTCTTTCCTCTAGAAATGTGAATCCCTAAATATTTTCAGTAAATAGAATTGTTAGAAAAAGGTGCATATGAAGGCGAAATCATATTCATTTTGGGAAGTTCAGGGGAGGTACTTTGGTGTTTGGATCAAATTTCACTGTTAAATGAATTATTCTTGGAAACTTTTCTCTTAAAATTCTTAAATTTCTGCCTGACAGGCTAAAGTAGGTAACTATTTCCCAAATACCTGGGTGTGGTTTTGAAGTATCTGTGTTCTAATCCTGTCATGTTCAAAGAAAAAATAGCTCTGCTTCACATGCTAGCTTGCAGGGTCTGAGACTTGATGCTTCTGCTTCCATGTGATCAAGTGTAGTATAAAAGTTACAAGGGGATAAAAAATGAGCCAGTGGGAAAATCAGATGTTTATTAGTGTGTTTTTATGTTTATGGGGGGTAGGGGTTTGGCAGATGTGGTTTTCCCAGAATAGCAATGACACGCATATTTCAAAGCAGCTTATTTCACCAAGCATGTATCTTTTTCAAAGGTTTGCTGTTTTGTTTGTTTATGTTCCTTTTTATTTGGTTGACCATCAGAGATGGACAGATTTGGAGATGAGGGCCTAAGTCATTCACTTAGGGTGGCTCTCATTTGCATATTATAGTAGTCACAAACTAAGAGCTCTCAGAAAAATCATGTTTTACTTGGAAAGCAGTTTTTAAGAAAATTGAATCTGAATGCCTTGAGGTGGAGTATATGCCCCCTGTTTTATACCCAGCTGTCTTATAAAATTATGCTATCTGTCTGAATCCTATACACATTTGAGTTTTTGGATACTTAGCCCATAAAATCAAAAAGATTTTATCATCAGTCTTTTGAGAACTCTGCTGCTTTTCAGCAGATAAAAGTCCTAAATAATGATAATAAAATCTTTCCAGAAAAATTCTTCTTTAGGATGGATGTCAAAGCTTTCGGAAAGGCTACAATGTGGAGCCCTTTGATACTGTAGCATCCCACATTTTCACCCTGTATTTCTTTGGAGTACCTGAAAGATGTGAGTGTGGTACCGTGGATGGATGAAACACAAAGAAGGAAATAGCAGAAATATGTTTAAATTATTTTCTTCCTTTTTTTCTCTTAAACTAATAAAGTTTTAAAATAAATCAAATACATATTTTAATTGATAAACTGAATTTATATTCACCTATTGGAAACAGTACAACATATCTTACATCAGATTACGAAATATGGATGTTTTACTAAAAGACAGGAAGAGTTTTTCCAAGTCTTTAAAGTAAATACATATTCAAAGGATCTTAAGGCATACCATTTATTCATATTCATATCTATTGAAATACTGTACATCCACATACTTCAATAAATAGTTAAAAACCTGACCTCTTTTTAAATCATTTCTGAAATTCAAAAAACAATTTTTATTGAAAAGATTAAATAGGTAACTTTTGGCTGTGTCACAAAGCTAAACACAATGGATAAATTAACAATATTCAATAAATTTGATCAATATAGATGATTGGCTTTGATAAACTTCTCAGAGTTTTCACACATTGGGGTATTTATGTATATATAATTTGTCCTGAATTATCTGGCTAATTTTCTCAGTTCTCCAGTCTACTTTCTAGATATAGTTTAAATGTCATGATGAAGCATTAATTTTTCAGTTAAGTTTTAAATCCTCCAAAAGTAGCTTTAAGTTTGACATTCGCTCTCTCAAATCTTTTAGAGTCCCCCATAATACACAATATTATAAATTGGGTAGCACTTTTCATTATATAATTGCTGCATAATAGGAACTTCATGGTGTAACAGGACTTTTGTTTTGAATAGGATCACTGTAAAACATAATTACACCATTTTTAATTAAACCAAGAATGCAAATGAACTACCCTAATATTCCAGTTCTTCCTCTCTTCCTCCTATTCTTGCTTTCCTTCCTTTCTCCCTTCATTCCTTTCTTCCTCCCTTCCTTCCTCCCATTCTCCCTCCCTTCCTTCTTCCTTCCTTCCTTCCTTCCTTCCTTCCTTCCTTCCTTCCTTCCTTCCTTCCTTCCTTCCTTCCTTCTTCCTTTTTATCCCACTGTCTTTACCTCCTTCACTTTTCTGTCTTTTCCTTTTCTTTCTGCTATCCTTTCTCAACTGCTTTTTATTTTTTTCTTTCTTCTTTCTTTGAAAAAGAAATTCAGGGCAACAAAAGGAATCCCACAAATGTAAGTTGTGGAAATATAATGCTGAAATGAATAGCTAGAAAAAATTATTATACATCAAAAGATAAATCAATTTCATAAAACTGCTATTCTGAAATTGCAACAATCTTGTACAGTCAGGACTGATAAAATGAAGTAATCAGACGTCTCATATGTCCATAAATGTAAAATCATCTACTTGAACATTATATGCAATACATTCACACAAAAAAGCAAATACTGTAGCCTTATTTGAACAATATTGAACTCATAAATACTCATGATTTCACTCTGTCCAGGGGTCTAGGAACTAGGAATGTTGCTGTGATACAGAAAAACATAGTGAATACCTCCTCTATTTAAAAATATCACTCAAGAACGTCTCTTCTAACATAAAGGCAAATACATATAGCTACTGAGCTATGACTGTACTTCTGTCACATTCTATGGTAATAACACCAGACTCCACAAATTTGGAATCATGACAACACTTTGAACTAATTATTTGGTTCATCCATAGTTTATATCTCGATTTACCTCACATTTACCCTACAAACCTTACAAAGAGGAGGTATTTTTAACTCTAGGAAAGCGGTCACTGTATAATATGCATTCTTGATCTGTTTCTTTCTCCCAAACAATGATACTGATGGTTAACACTTTTGTGGTAGCACCACTATTTCTAGTAAGTAGATTATTATGGAGTGTGCCACTTTAAAGCTGCAATACAAAAACAAAAACAAAAACAAAAAAACAACTTTGTAATTTGCTTCCAAATTCCACAAAGGATATTTTAAAAAATCAAGTCAATAATAACCAAAGTTAGAATGCTGTATGTATTTAAGAGAACATTTTAAATACATCAGTCAAAATAATGTAATAAATTATTAGTGAGTAAATTTAATAGCATAATGCCATGTTATTGTCATTTTGTGAAAACATTGTATATTTACGCCTCCTCATTTAGGATTCATTTTTCTAATTAAAATAGATTTATGGTGTACTTTGGGACTAATTTTACTTGGAAAAAAAACAATTTCCAAGTTCTCTCTTTCTGGGAAAAAATATTAGATATCCTAAATATGTATAATTTCTATGGAATTTCCTGTATTTATCTTTATTAGTAAGTTTTTGGTGTTTTTATGGCTTGCAAAGGGGACTGACTGTTTGCAGAAATCTCTGTTGGTGTAATGAAACTGGTAACTTTATCAAACTTGTAAAATGACTTTCAAGGCTATGGCCTTTTTTTTAGTAAAGAATAAAACCATCAAACTATTCCTGTAATATAAACTACTTCTTAAAGTAACAGCATTTTCCTTAAAAAAATGTAGTTTTCACTGTGATATATTTTAATACTTATGATAATTTAATAGTTAATATCTTAAGATATTCTCATCACTGGTCTTGTCTTAATTTGATCATATCATCCTTATACCATGTAAGAAAAAGATAAAGCATGGCAATATTTTTTTCTTGGCCTTACTTGTTTGGGGTGACATGGCTGTAGAGAATTATTACAGAATTTATTACAGAATTAGTTATTTCAGGGATTGATCTGCTGCAGACCAGCATGAAACATTTGTTGTAATATATTTTGAACAATTGTTTTATATAACATGCATCCCAAACTATCAACTGAGTGACATTTTCAGATGAAAAATATGCAAAATGCTCCAGTCAACAGGAGCACCTTCTCATACCACCTCTCCTGCCACGGAACCAAATTAATTTTGAGTGCTTACCAAGTCAGGTAATACTAGGTGATTGGAATTTGTGTCCTTTCTGAAAAACCATCCTAGCAATTTTGGCTTGGAATGGTGAAAGGAAAAGGTGGGTTGCTGGGCAATCTATTGGCTGGACTGTGCTGCCATTTTAAAGGGAATTATTTCCCAAAGTGGATCTAATATTTAGCTACATTGAAATAAATCATATGTCAAAGGTACCTGTATTATGTTAATTAAATTGTTTTTCATCACAAAATTGAGTTATTGTGGGGCAAATTTCACAAACCCCACTGGTAACGAAGGGATTTTTACAGTCCTATAGCTACTTTACTCTTTAGAGATCAGATATGGTTTAACTTTATCATTATAGTTTATTTTTGTTTTCAATTGTAGTGTTTGGCAATATGTTTTTATTAGTTGAAGGCAAAGAGAGAAATACTTCATGAAGGCACACCCATGCTGAACTTACAGGAAAGAAGCAGAGCTGCACAGCCAATTATATTACAAGGCTCATTCCTGAAACCTGAATATCATGCGAGCAGAAAAATCTAGATATGTGTGTGTTTTGAAGAAATGATCTGAAGGCAATACTATTTGCTTTTTTTTTTTATCAAAAGAGAAAAAAAATGCATCTTTGTAAATGCGGACTGATTCTTATTGAAACAGGGAAATGAATGCTTGTATTGCAGCCTTAAAGAATCACATATTCACTGCAATATTCGTTTTTGTAAACTACAGCCTGCAACCTAGCAGACCATGACTGAATGCTTTTGAAAAGTTGTAGGTTACAAACATGAAATCACAATTAATATCCTCTAAAAGTAATTTCAGAGCCTTCACATCTTAAAAAAAGGACAGTGTGCACTGCTTCACAAGGTAATGTAGCTAGTCAAAAAAAAGGATAGAATTGAAGTATTTACATAATGAGCATTCTACAGAAGGCGATCATCCCCTTGCAAGCGCTGCTGATTATATCCCACGCTGCTTTTAACAAACTGTACCCGATTGGATCCAGCCATCAGCACTTTCAGAGGATTCTTAAGAGCCTTTTATGGGTCTTTAAACTTATTGTAGAATGGCATTCTTCAGGTGGAATATGCTGGTGAAAGAGGACAGTGTCAACACAAGGTACCAGCAGGAGAAAAGAACGTCGGCGCTCCCGGTAATTCCATACTGGGCTGTACTTGGAGCTGGAAAGAAATGGAGAAAGACTAAATCAAAATCTAATTCGTGTCTTTCAGGATCTTAACGATAATCAAAAGGCAGCTGTGTATATTGGGGAGAGCCCTGGTATCGGAGTCAGACAGAATTAGGTTCACATCTGTTTCTGCTGTAGGACAATGTGTGACCTATTCGACTAACCTTTCTGAGCCTCATTTTTCTTAAGGAGAAAAACAGAAGTGATATAATCCACTTGGCAGGGCTGCAGTGAGAATTGGAGATGAAGTACTCATAATAACACATTGCACTGGGCTGAACTCATGCTAAATACTTACTATTTCACAGCTAACATTATTCCTCTTATATGCATTGTTAATATTTGTAGTAGTGAACGATATTCACTCATGCATATTCTTCAAAAACATATTTTTATTGAGATAAAATTGACGTATGACATTGTGTAAGTTTAAGATGTACAACAGTGTTGATTTCATATGTTTATATATTGTAATATTATTACCACCATAGTGTTAGCTAACACCTCTATTATATCATACTAGGGGCCCGGTGCACGAAATTCGTGCACTGGGTGGGTGGGGGGGTGTCCCTCAGCCCAGCCTGGCCCCCTCTCACATACTGGGAGCCCTCAGGCGTTGACCCCCATCACCCTCCAATCGCAGGATCGGCCCTTTGCCCAGGCCTGACGCCTCTGACAGAGGCGTCAGGCCTGGGCAGGGGACCCTCATTTCCCCCATCACTGGTTCTGCCCCCAGCCCAGGCCCGATGCCTCTGGCCCAGGATTCAGGTCTGGGCAGGGGACCCCCAGACCCCTCTGATTGCTGGCTCTGCCCCTTGCCCAGGCCTGATGCCTCGGCCAGAGGCGTGGACCCCCATCACCTTCCGATTGCCTGATCGGCCCCTTGCCCAGGCCTGATGCCTCCGCCAGAGGTGTCAGGCTTGGACAGGGGACCCCCATCTCCCCCCGATCACTGGCTCTGGCCCCCGCCCAGGCCTGAGGCCTCTGGCCCAGGAATCATGCCTGGGCAGGGGACGCCCATCTCCCTCTGATCGCTTGCTCCACCCCCCGCCCAAGCCTGACGCCTCTGACCCAGGCTTCAGGCCTGGGCAAGGGGACCATCATATCCCCCCAATCCCCGGCTCCGCCCCCCGCCCAGGCCTGATGCCTCATCACCCTCCGATCACCAATCACCGGATCGGCCCCTTGACCAGGCCTGAGGCCTCCGGCAGAGGTGTCAGGCCTGGGCAGGGGACCCCCAGCTCCCTGCAGTTGCAGGCTCCGCCCCTGCCCAGGCCTAACGCCTCTGGCTTAGGCGTCTGGCCCCAGCAGCGGGGACCTGCAGTGGCAGCAGGGGGTGCGGCGATCGTGGGCTTCGCTTTAGGCCCAGGCAAGGGACCCCTAGCTCCTGGGACTGCCAGCTTCGACCGTGCCTTTGCCCTGCCCCCCAGCTCTTAGCTCCCCCCTGGGTTTCTGATCACTGTCAGTGGCAGGGGGCTTCTTCCTGCTTTCCCTTTCGCCTCCCTGCATTGTGCCTACATATGCAAATTAGCCGCCATCTTGTTGGCAGTTAACTGCCAATCTTAGTTGGCAGTCAATTTGCATATAGCCCTGATTAGCCAATGAAAACAGTATCACCGTACGCCAATTACCATTTTTCTCTTTTATTAGTGTAGATAATTATTATTTCTTTCCTGTGGTGAGAATAATTAAGATCTAGTCTACTAGCAACTTTTAAGGTTATAATATAGTACTTTTGACTATAATTACTATGGTGTGCATTAAGTCTCCAGGACTTAATCTCTTGATGAGTTCCAAGTTTATACCATTAAATAACAATCCCAAATTTCCCCACCCCTAGCCTCTGGTAAACACCAACCTACTCTCTATTTTTATATGTTCAGCTTTCTTAGATTCAACATATAAGTGACATTATACATATATTTGTAAATCTTTTTTACTGGTAAAATATTGTACTAAATGCTGCAACAACAAACAAGTTCTCTCTTCCAACAATGTTTTTGGCGGTGAAGAAAGATATTCAAAAATATAATACAACCCTAGAAATATCAGAGTTGCATGTGCAAACTTCAATGACACAGAAAATTGTGTATTTAAATCTGTCTGTGCAAAGGAGGGATGAATTAACAGAGAATTTTATCATAGGAGATGGTCATTTGGGTAGAGGTTACAATATATTCAAAAGCATGAGGAAAAGAGAGAGCACAACATATATTCTAGGATCTAAAAGTAGATTAGTATTGTTGCACCATGAAAATGGAGGCCTGAAGTAGAGGGAATTAAAACTGGGACTCTAGGCAGATAGAATGATCTTAACTATAAAGAAAAGAGTTTAGCTCTTTATAATAAAGGAAGTTTTGAAGAATTTGGAGCTGTTGAATGATATGATTACATTTATTTACACATTAGAAAGATCACTGTTTTATACATGAGAAGCTCATGTGGTACCTGGCTAACAGACATTTTGAATATTTACTGAGAGATTTCACCCAGAGACTGACCACACCTTGGGAGTCTACCGAATGAATTCCACTTCATTTCACAAGAGAATAGTTACCTCTTTGAATGCGAATTAAATTGTGTTCCAGAAATTGAATGTCGCAGACATGCTCAGCCTTGCCTGAGACTGATTCTCACTTACCATAATAATTATAACAGCAATAATAAAAGAAACCTCAGCAACATACTTTTAACTACTTTTTCTTAATGAAACCTGGATTTCAAGCACTGTTTTCTAATACAAAATAAATAATGTAATAAAAATATATTATTTCACTGCCAAATCCATAACTCAAACCAGGAAGCAGTTTTAGTCACTGAATTTGAATTACCAGCAGGTAGTTTTTAATGGAACTTTCACCAAAGACTATATTTCCATGTTACAAGAAGAATAAATTGCCTTGTTTATACCTCTAAGAAATTAGAGGGGATGACAGATGCATTGGACCCTGCCAGTGGGAAGTTTTCTTCACATTACAATTGTTGGTTCCAGGTGAATGAGATTCAAGGGCTAAGATTACTACTCTTTAGTAAACACAGAGCAAAATCAACTATTTAATGCTTCTATTTGCATCACAAATGAGTCCTAAAGAATGAAAAGATTATGAAGAAAACACATCTTTATCATTGGACAAAGGTTTGATATATAACAAGTCTAATATAAAACCACAAAACTCCTTAAATTACTTTCCTTGTTCAAGCTTAGAAAGATGTTGTATTTTTAAAAATATAAATAAATATTTAATTGGTCTGTTGCCTTCTCAATGACAGCTATTTCAGAGTTATTTTTGCTGTGGTTTTTAAAGAATCTTGAGTGCAATCAAACCAGTATAGCAGGACTAATAACAAACAAAGCATATAAAATGATTTCATAAATAAGAAATAAATCCCAAAAACTAAACATGTATAACAAAGATAAAATTTTATTATCTTGACTAATTAAATAGTGCATTAAGTGGGTAGACTATAAAGGGCCCTCAAAACTCCATATCTATTCTTTAAAGTGCATTTTGGGGGCAATCTTTTCTAAATCTCCTCTTCTCCAACAGGCTGAGTAGATTACCCTAGTGTGTCATTAGGTCACCATATATATTTCTTTTTATACAACTGTAACACTGCACTGCTAATATATTTATACATAATCTATTTTACTAGATTGTAAACTCTGCCTGTTCATGTTTTATTTATTTTGATGTTTCCAGACACAAAGTCTGGCAAAGTCTGGTACCTAGTAGATGCTTAACAAATGTCTGTTGAATGAACAATTCAGTTAAATAAATAAATAGGTCAGAATTAAAAGGGGTATTTTTCTCTTATAAAAGGACTTTCTTCTAAGGCAGTGGTTCCCAACCTTCCTAATGCCGCGACCCTTTAATGCAGTTCCTCATGTTGTGGTGAGCCCCAACCATAAAATTATTTTCGTTGCTACTTCATAACTCTAATTTTGCTACTGTTATGAATCATAATGTAAATATCTGATATGTAGGATGTATTTTCATTGTTACAAATTGAACATAATTAAAGCATAGTGATTAATCACAAAAACAATATGTAATTATATATGTGTTTTCTGATGGTCTTAGGCGACCCCTGTGGAACCCAAAGGGGTTGCGACCCACAGGTTGAGAACCGCTGTTCTAAGGCAAGCCACTTGCCTACAGGCTAGAGAGTCTTCAATACACCTCTTTCAGTCATCCAGCAAATAGGCACTGAAGTAGGTACCAGGCTCTGTACAAAGTACTGGGAATACAAAGGCTAATATGATAAACATGGTTCTTTTGTTCCTTAATTCCATATATGGCCATATGTACTCTATATTCTCCTTTTTATCATATACCTTCAATGCCGTCTTTTTCCCCTACATGCTTTTACCTTCTACCCAGTCTCCTATTGTGTTAGATAAAGGTATATCAATAATATATTTAAAAATTAAATACTACTTTGCAACTAACAGAGTATATATTTGTCCGTTGATTTCTCATATTGATGTACTTTTTAGTCTTGTGAATGCAATACTTCTATTAATCCTAAAATAAAGTAGGAACCTGTTGCTGCATTGTTAGCATGCAATTACTATAAGAAATGAACTGTAGAATAGCTATTGACAATTAGTAGGCCAAAAAACAGAGTGGAGGTAGTCAAGGGAATGTGAGGTCAATTACCTAATGCCAAGTCATCTATCATGATTCATACTCCTTAAGTAGATGTTGAACATCTTTCATGTGCTGGGAATTGAACACAGCTAAAAATTAATACAACTCAATCTCCACACTAGGAAAGGTTCATTCTAGTTCAATATATAAATAAAAAATCAAATATAGAACATTAGAATATATGTAGTGAACAAACATGAGAGGGCTCTCCAAAGAGTCATGGTAGAGGTGAGTAGTCTAGGTGGCAGATACAAATACAATTATTTTTCACAAAATGCAATGATATACACATGCTAGTACATGTATATCTCACTGTAAAAAAATGGTGGCATTGGGGTTC